TTCACTGCGTGGAAGTATGTGGATCCCCTGAGCTCATTTGACCTTCAGCCACAACTGCATCATCCCTGCTTGGCCAGGGAGAAAGCAGGCTCAGAGAGAAGGCAAATAAATGACTGGTCCAGTGTCACAGCTGGTTAGTGACAGAGATAGTCTTTGAACTCAAGGTTCTTTGAGGCCCAAACCTCTGTTCTTCCACTTTGCTAAGCTGCCTCACACATTGTTATACAGAAATTAAGGTAAGTAATATGGAAGGAAAGAAGGTTAATATGTAAATTAATGGTCACTGTTTTGATATGATGTTATGAAACATTTTTGTCCCCACCCTCATTTACCTTGAGGGTGTTTGTCCTGGGTGCAGTTGTTAAGGAAAAGTCTCTCCAAATTCATAAAATTGCAGGAGTCTGTAAATTTTCATATCCTGCCTCAGTTTTGTTGTTTCTGCCCACCTGTATCTCAAAGTGATCGGTCCTTCCCCACAGGCATAGCCACATCTCCCTAGAGTCAACCGCATTCTCGCCTGATCTCTGTGTGTGCACTTAACACTGAAGAGAGATAGAGCAGGATTCACCAACAAACCCTGGATTTTGTTTTGTTTTAAGAAAAAAAAATGTATTACCTTGGGTATAAAATTAAGAAGAATTTTGTCCTACTTGTGAACACCTTGGGGGTTTCTGCTTCCATTCTTCAGTCCCTGCTGCAGCAGCTCACACATTTTCCCCTTTCTAAGCTGTCTGCATACTAACTTCCCCTTGCACCTGTGGCTGGTGGTCCCCACGTGGGCAGCACAGACCAGATCCTCTGGCTTTGAGCACCTTGACTTAACCTTCATGGCTCCTCTTTGCTCAAATTCCTCTGTTCAAAAAATAATAAGTGTGTCTAGATTCTCCTCCCTCTCAGCTACTCTCTACCCCATTTTCCTACTCTATTGAACCCCTCATACTCTGCTGATCCCACTCTTAAAAATAATAGCAACCTCCCAGTCACCAAACTCCGAGGCCTTTTCTCAGCACTCACTCCCTATGACCGTGGGCTGCTCGGAGTCTTTTGCTGGGTGCTGGGATCCATTGATGGATCTCCTCCTACTCCTGCCCCGGCCTTTATGCCAGGTTTAAGAACAACTTCTCCCCAGGGGGTTCTCTCCTTTTCATTTTGTCTATCTCTGGATTATCTTGCTTCTCTGTGGACGCCACCCAATCTCGTAGGTCCTGGCCTGACTTTCCTCTGCAACTCAGTCAATCAGTCAGCTTCTCTGATTCTCTCTCTCTTTTTTTTTTTTTTTGAGACGACTTCTCACTCTGTCATCCAGGCTGGAGTGCAATGGCATGATCTTGGCTCACTGTAATCTCTGCCTCCCGGGTTTAAACGATTCTCCTGTCTCAGCCTCCTGAGTAGCTGGGATTACAGATGTGCACCACCACACCCAGCTAATTTTTTTATTTTTAGTAGAAACAGAGTCTCGCTATGTTGGCCAGTCTGATCTCGAACTCTTGGCCTCAAGTGATCCGCCTGCCTTGGCTTCTCAAAGTGCTGAGGTTACAGGCATGAGCCACTGCGCCCGGCTTTCTCTTTGACTCTTTAATATTCCTGAATAACTTAAATACCTTCCAAGCACCTGCAATGGAATATGGCCTGAACAGAACTCACTGTATTTCTCTTCGTGAACCCCATTTCTCTTAATGACGCTACCCTCCTCTCAAGGCTCCATTTTTGGCTTCTTTTCCTGTGCATCCTCATTGTAATACCCTGCAAGATCCTGCTGGAATTCTGGGAACCTCTCCTCACATCTCATCATTCCCTGCTAATCACCACTATTCATTTCAGCTACTCATTAACTCTTGCCTAATGTTGTAATAGCCTCCCAATAGGTCTTTCCAGCCTTCCCTCAATGAATCATTCTGCTACTCTTAACCTTTCTGGTGTTTTCCCATTGCTCACTCTAAAGTCCTGAATCCTTGGCCTGGCACTGGGGGCTGCCCACAACCCAGGTCCGCAATCTGTGGCCTCAGCCTGACTAATGTCATTTCCTCATTCCCTGTGGGATCTGCTATTCCTGGTTGGGCCTGGGGAGAGTGCTTACACGTTCTTTGAGAGTTTTATTTCTTCAAGAGGCATCTGTGGCCGGGCGCAATGGCTCACGCTTATAACCTCAGCAGTTTGGGAGGCTGAGGTGGGCAGATCACGAGGTCAAGAGATCGAGACTATCCCGGCCAACGTGGTAAAACCCATCTCTACTAAAATATAAAAAATTAGCCAGGCGTGGTGGCACATGCCTGTAGACCCAGCTACTCAGGAGGCTGAGGGAGTGAATCCCTTGAACCCAGGAGGTGGTGGTTGCAGTGAGCTGAGATCACGCCATTACACTGTCTTAAAAAAAAAAATAGGCATCTGTATCAGAGACCTTAAAGGCTAAAATGATCAAATTCTTAAAGAAGTCTTCTAAGTTACTCTAGTATTAGAAACAATCCTCTAGCCAGTGTCCCAGGTAGAATATGAAATATTCTGTAATTGCCCACCTTCTTTCCTTTGCTCATGCTGATTTCATAACCTGAAAATAGCCTGTCCCCTGATTTTATGTGTCTAATTCCAAAATCCAGATTTTTCACTAAACTGCCCCTGATTCCTTCAGCTCCCTTAGGGCACCTTGTATTTACATTACAATTGTTTAAGTACTCAGCACTCCCATCGCTAGGCCGAGACTTTCTTATGGGCAGTGACAAGATCTTAGTTACAAGGGACAAAAAGAAACATCGTGCTTGACACATAGTAGATATTCAATGAAAATCTGAATGACTACGAGAATGAAAGAAAAAAATATATCCACGTGTTCCTTCTTACCTGACTTTGTTTTTGGGTAGAATGTGGGTCTGATTTATATCCTACAATACTTAGCATTGTGCTTTGTGCATAACAGATTTTCCATAAATATTTCTTGAATTAGTGAATTAGCTATGTAGTTGATCCTGAGAGGATCTTTCTGAATGCCACATTACTGTATTTCACCTTCAGTAACTTAAGTGCTTTTAATATAACTAACAGATTTAAAGTATGTTAATCTTTTGATTGTTACTAGTTTTTAACAGTGATTATCTTTGTCTTTGAACTGGTTTGCTTTTTCTTTTTTTTTTTTTTTTTTTGTTTTTTTTTGTTTGTTTGTTTGAGACAGGGTCTCACTCTGTCATCCAGGCTGGAGTGCAGTGGTGTAAACACGGCTCACTGCAGCCTCAACCTCCTAGGCTCAGGCGATACTCCCACCTCAGCCTGCTGGGTAGCTGGAACTAGAGGCGCTTGCCACCATGCCTGGCTAGTTTTTGTATTTTTTGTAGAGATGGGGTTTCACCATGTTGCCCAGGCTGGTCTCGAACTCCTGACTTCAAACAATTTTCCCTCCTTGGCCTCCCAAATTGCTGGGATTGCAATGTGAGTCCCCATGTTGGCCAGGTTGGCTTTTGCTGCATTCTTAATTTTGATTGTTAACACATTATATATCATGGAGTGGGGGGGGGCAGTGCTTTCTTAGTTTCACAAAGGAAATTAGAAAAAAGAAGGGTCACTTTTAAGAAAAATGTGAAGGAGCTTATCTATTTGCTTTAGCTCCCATCTCTAGGTATTGGTGGGGTTCTAGGACTAGCAATTTTTTCTGCAATAGTGGTTGAGTCGTTCTTTCTAGAATCATCATGGCTCCATCCAGGAACACATAATTTGGATGCTTTCAATGGGAAATGGAGTAAGGCAGCCTTGTTGAAATGCCAGTGGAGCATTAGAGGGGGTTCCCAAACTTCAGTGAAGTTGAACTAAGTTTCTTTGCTTCCCCCCATACCAGGATGCTAACACTGTTTTGTTTTTTTTTTTTAATTTTTACAATGAGGAATGCTTGCTGGTCCTCCCTGACAACCTTTTACTGTAGAATTTTGATTTCAATTACTGAATTAATGGTTCAGTCATCCCTCTATCTGAGGGCATTGGTTCCAGGACTCCCATGTATACCAAAATCTGCAAATACTCAAGGCCCACAGTCGGTGCTATAAAACCCAAGAATATGAAAAGACAGCCCTTGGTATATGGGGGCTTTGCATCCTCAGAACACTGTATTTTTGATGTCATTTGGTCATAGATGCAGAATCCACTCATAGAAAGGGCTGACGGTATCTATTCAAAAAATTTGTACTTGAGTGGGTCCATGTGGTTCAAACCTGTGTTGTTCAAGGGTCAACTGAACTTGCTTTTAGTCGTGTTACTTGGTGCAAAGCTAAGTAGTAATGAAACAAAAAAACTAACTGGAAATTGTCAGGGATGCCTTTGTGATGAGTGTGCCTTTGTGATCCACCCCGCCTTAAGGTTCACTGCTGCTTCTGGTTTTGTTGTTGTTTGGGGTTTTTGTTTCGTTCTCTTCAAATGACTTGGTGGGAAAAATAAAACATGCCTTCACATGCTTCTTCTGTAGTGTGACTTTAATCTCTGTGAGAGAAGAACAATCCTAACTCATGTATGTAAACGGAGCAAGCTACTTACCAGAAGTACCTAGGCTTGTGAGGTTGCCTAAATCTTGCAATTAAGGCTTGCAAGTGGGTAAGTAGAGTCAGGAAAAAAGGTCAGACGATCTAAGGAGAGAAATTTACTTCTAGGAAATGCTACGTACTTATTGGAAGCAGGAGAGTTTCTCCAGTATATTTTAGAAGGATGACCCAGAGTTTGCTGAAATGTACAAAACAGAAACAAAAAGATTCCCTCTTTGTGAAATATGGATGCATCATCTACACCTATGGGAGGTGTTCATTTTTTTTGGAAATGAACAAAGTATTTGGCGTGATGTGCTCTCTGAGACAACTCTCATTCACCTTTCACTGGGCGTTATTGGAATCCTATAGTGTCAAGAGTGGTAAATTTTTAGGCTTTTGGCCCAATGTCAAGACTTCTGAGCAACAGTATAAATCCATTAGATTTGTTGACATCTCAACGTCTTTGAAATAATTAATATTATTTACATTATTTGTCTCTCTCAGAAATGAACACACCTATGAGTACTGGATGCCTGTGAGCTCCCCATCACCTGCACTGCAAAGACGCAGAGCGGCGGCCTCTGAGAAGCAGCTCCTTCCCCCTCACCTTGGCCTTGACCTTCCTGCTCAAGGTCTACCATGGAGACGCTGTCCCAGGACTCCCTGCTGGAATGTCAGATCTGTTTCAATTACTACAGCCCCCGGCGCAGGCCCAAGTTGCTGGATTGCAAGCACACCTGCTGTTCAGTGTGCCTCCAGCAGATGAGGACCAGCCAGAAGGACGTGCGGTGCCCCTGGTGCCGTGGTGTCACCAAGCTGCCCCCTGGCTTCTCCGTGTCACAGCTCCCTGACGACCCAGAGGTCCTGGCTGTCATTGCCATCCCACACACTTCCGAGCACACCCCGGTCTTCATCAAACTTCCCAGCAATGGGTGCTACATGCTGCCCCTGCCCATCTCCAAGGAGCGCGCGCTGCTGCCCGGAGACATGGGCTGCCGCCTGCTGCCCGGGAGCCAGCAGAAGTCCGTCACCGTGGTGACCATCCCTGCTGAACAGCAGCCTCTGCAAGGCGGGGCTCCCCAGGAGGCGGCGGAGGAGGAGCAGGACAGGCGGGGCGTGGTGAAAAGCTCCACCTGGTCGGGGGTGTGCACTGTCATCTTGGTGGCCTGCGTCTTGGTCTTCCTCCTCGGCATCGTGCTCCACAACATGTCTTGCATCTCTAAGCGCTTCACTGTGATTTCCTGTGGCTGAAGACAGCTGCAGTGAAGTCTCTGGTGGGTGCCAACTTAGGGGTTGAGCAGGTTGGTGATGAGATCCCGGTGAGAAGATGGGGGGGAGCGACACTGACCATTTGGTGCTGAGCGCTGGCCTCTGGGTTGCCTCTTGATTTACCCCAAGACAGACACGAAGGGCAGAAGGTGAGGTCTCAACAAGATACCAGGCGAATTGTTCTGAGTGTTGATGGCAACAGCTTTGAAGATGATTGCATGCATCCTCATAATCATGTATTCAATGGACTGTAATTTATGATTTTTGAAAATCATGTTACAAGATAGACATAGTCTACTTAGACGTTAAACTGCACAAGTGCGTACAATGTGATCTTCTCTAAATGCGGTAGATTAAAACAAAGATGCTATGTATACAAGTAGAGTTAAACCTGCGAATCCGTGTAAAAATCCAGTGAAGACATGCACTGCTGGCTTCTTTACTTTTTTTTTTTGTTCTTTTTATTGAAACGCAGTCTTCATTTAGTTGCTAAGGCTTTTTATACATTTTGAATGGCACCAAAACAAAACAAGTCAAGGCGGACGGTCGTTTTTTTGGAGAAAATATTTGAACAAGTGTCTCCAATGTGTTGTGTTTTGTCATGAACGTTCATTTTCTTCACGTGTAATTAGAGCTCACTACGTGTTGATGAAACTGAAAGCTCAACAGGGGAGCAATAAACTGAGAAATCGTGAGACATGTCCAGTCCTGCGGGAACCCTGTATGCTGATTTTCCTCAAGCCATCTCACAAAATAAGAATTTCAAATGTAAATATTGTGTATTTGTGTGTGTATGTATGTGTGTCTAATTTGATTTACCTCAGGTGTTTGAGTCTTTGCAGAAGAATCCCGGGATTAAGACTTCATTGGGCATGGGTGAGTCGAGTCTCTGAAGCGGTGGCCACTTCATGGGCACCTGCACCCAGCGAGGAGTCTCCTATCCGTCACCTGCAACACTCACTCCTCCTCTGTGTATTTGAGTCCTGCATTTTGTCAGAGGCAAATGGAAAGTAACAGAACAGTGTCTTTTCTCCCGGTTTGGGAATCTTGCGCTGGCCATGAGTGTTGTGACTGATGGCCAACCTGGGCGGGCGTTTTAATAGATGGTCTGTGGTTCTTTTTTGAAAGATGCTCTTCCACGAGAGTTAAACCAATTAGAATTCCAGTTTCCTCTTATTGATGTAAGAGAGAGTATCTCCTGTATTTTAACATGTTTTTACTGAGAAAAGTGGCAAGGTAAACCAACAGCTCAAATTCCCAAAATAAGTGGACCAGTTCTTCATCTACTGTCAAATATTCTTAAATGTGTAACGGTCTCTAGATGCTCATGAAGGAAGCTCTGCTAGACGTAAGTGATAAATTCCTATCCCTGGGTGCATGTGCATTCAGAAATAGCTATGAGCTTTACAGTTCTCATCTAACTTATTTTATGGAATTCATGAAGCAAGTGGTATGTGACAAGGACTCCACTTATAAATGTAACTGTTTTTGTGTTCCACTGAATCCCTGAAAATGGTGAGGAGGGTGGGGGGAAGTGAAGGAAAGAGAAGCAGGGCTAATTCTAAAAAGCAAGGCTAGAAAATAGCCCTGTGAGGTCAAGATAATTTATTTACATGCTACCTGTTATCTTCAAGCGACACAAAACATGCATATAAAAGTGATGGAATTAATGTGAAATAAAACAAAAACATAATGACTAGAATACAAAGCTAATACTGCTAATTGGCATGAGAATTCAACATAAAATTAGGAGCTCTGATTTTTCAAATTTTTCAAATTTATCATAAGACCTTTAGGAAATGTATTTGAAAGCTCAAAATAGAAATTAGGTTAAAATGCCATTTTATTGTGTAAGCTATTGGGCATTATACAACAAATAATCTAGGATTTATTTGGTATTAATAATTTAGGCATCATATTAGCTGAATACTCTCCTCTATTACGTAATATACTGTTGGGTTAGTGTCAATTTCTCAAACTCTCCCAGGCTGCCATAATGCATGTCTGACCTAATTTCTGTTTCTCTTGGAGAAACACACACACACACATATACACACCACAGAAATGTTGCATTAAGAATGCTACATTTCAAATAGACTTTACCCTCGCAATTTTAGGCTATGCCATATTCAAATTAATTTTGCGAGTGATATCTGCATATGTTTCTGTACAGTATGAAATGACCGACCCTGTAGTGTAGTATGTGATAGAGTTCTACTTGTTAAAGTAGGTTAGATACAGACACTAATGTGTGTGATGATAGCGTCCTGTGTTTCTTAGTGCAAACCTGTATAGTAAAAATGTTCATAGAACTTTTACTTAAAAACAGTCCCGTGCTAGAGCTGCCATTAAGCAGCGCAAAATTAATCGGCAGCATGGTAGATTCTTGACCTTAAATTTAACAATAGCAGCCAAAATCAGATTATTACTTTTTTTCTTGCGAGTCTTATTGACATAAGAAACATTGTTTAAATTGTTTAAATGGATTCTGCCTGCAGTTATTTGTGTACCTGTTTGTTAGGGTGTGCATTCTTTGTGTGTGCGTGTGCGCGTGTGCGCATGAGAGGGCGAGAGAGAGAGAGAGATCTCAGCCTGCCAGATAGAATTTTATAGGCTCAATGAAGTTTTAATGTTACTTGGCATCCTGTTGTTCTGGTCTCTTCTGGCATTTACCAATGACCCTTAACAAACACATCTACCCATGCGACCAAAGTCCACTGACACAAGAGGCCAGAATTCTTACTTGCACATCAATGAAAAGTCACAACTGAAAAGCACAGAAAGTTAGAGCTGAAAGCAGCCTCCGGTGGCTTCATTTTGTAGATGGGTCTGTTTTGTAATTCTGCAGAAAAGCGGGGATATGAACTTTGCACTGTGGTGTCTTCTTGCTCCATCCCAGGTCTGTCTACGTCTCTATCTGGCTATGATCCTTTCTAGGGTTCATTAATACCCTTTACTAAGTCAACTATTGCTTTAAAGGATATTTTCTGTAGGTTTATGTGCTCATTTTAGTTAGCATCTACCTCTCTAGGAAATGAAAGGGGGGTTGACATAGGGATGAGTACAGACATTGAAAGACAACTATCAAACCATGCTGTTTGAATTTTTAAAATTGTAGAGCATTGGTGTCCAAGTCTCCCACCCCACTTGTATGTAAAGGACAGTGAGTGTTGTGTAAATAGTAAACTCTAAGAAGCATGAATTTTCATCTTTATTAATGATCTTGACATAAGCAAGAGAATGCTTCATTTGTTAAGTAGAGCCAAGAATGCTACAAAAAAGCATTGTCTTTGGAAAAATTTTGTATAATGACTTGGGGCATAAGTTGTGATGAAAAGGCAACTTGATTCTCAGTTCCAGTCATTCTTAAGGATCAGAAAGCTCTAAGATATTTTCTTTAAAAATATAATTGTTTAATTTTTTGCATGACTTACATATCGGGTCCCTTGAAGGTGAAACCAGGTGATGGTATAATCCTTGAGATCTAGATTGGCACCGTTCTATAGAACTTTCTGTGGCAATGGAAATGCTCTGTCACCTGTGCTGTCTGGTACAATGGCAACAAGCCACATGGACTTTCAGGCAGTTAAAATGGGGTTAGTACAAGAGAAGAAGTGGATTTCAAATTTTATTTAACTGAAATCTCAATATGACAAGTGGCTGCCATATTGAACAACGCAGTTCTGGATGATCGTGCTTGCGGATCTAGCATCAAAGTATTAATGGAGTAACAGTGAGGCGAAAAAGAGTTTGTGTGCTAGTAACATGTAGTTGGCAAAAGGTAAAAAATTCCTTTCTGGGCCTAAAAAGCATGTGGTCTCAAGTATGACAGTAAAAATTCATTGCTGCCCTTTGGAACTGTTGCTGATAGACTTTAGGCCAAGGAATGATCAGTGAAGCTGAAAGAGTGCTTTATTAAGCCCCTTTTCTGGGCTTATTAGCTGCATGTGAACCTATTGTCCAAAAATAGTAGTTAGACAGTAGCTGTAAAATGTTTGACTTGCAAGCTATGCATGACCTATTCTGTGAAATTGTGTCTGGGGTCCTGTGGCCAAAAAGTAAATGTTACAGGAAAAAAAAAAAAAAAACCTAATGAAATCCCTGTTCACTTCCAATATCTTATCCAAACTTCATTCGTGTATTAGTAAGGTGCAAATATAAGAGCAAGCATGGTTTGCAGTGTTCAGACTGTTTTTGTTTGCCCTTGAAGTCTGCCAGCTTGTCATTGTATTTGGTGTGGGCATATGTGGGCATCATTTTTCAGATGCCAGACTAAAACATAGGTACTATTTTTAGAGTGAGATTTGACATTGTTTTAGTCTCTTTCTTTTTTAAACAAAAGTTTTAGTTCACTGAAAGAGTTGAAGATTTGAAGCTTTGCACAAAGGCACTTTTTTTTTTAACAGTAAAACATATTGCCCATGAAATTTAAAGACTTGAAGGTTACTGAAGCTACTAGAATTAATTTTTAGCTAAATGAAAGGAAGCAGAAAATTCAGTTTGAAATATATTTTTTCTGTAAAGACCAGATTCTTACTAATAATCTGGTATTTATTCCAGTCTAGATTTTGATTTGAAGAGTTCCCATCCCTTTATTTGAAAACTTATATTGCTGTCAAAATGGGTTAGTCTGCTTTTCACTGTTTTGCAAATGGAATATAAACCAAATGCATTTACTTCATTTTAGCAGAAATAGTTTTTTTTTTTTTTTTTAAGAACTCATCAGTTGGCAAGACTTTTCTCCTTAGCTTGTCTTTAAAAATCATTTAATTTTTTTTTTGTCAAGATAGTAGTCTTTCTTTAGACTCTAAGAGGAAGATAGAAGTCCAAAAGTTATTGATGCAAGAGGAATGATGCACAAAAGACTTCAGTTTCTATCTTCTCTCAGAAAAACAATGCTGCCCACCAGTCAGCATTTTGTTTCCACATAAGAAGTGTCAGTCTGTCATCCCTGACCTAGATGGAGAAGCTGTTCCTTGACGTTGCCATCATTCTCAGTAAATTGTCACCTACAAGGTAATTTTTACCAAAACAGAAACTATTGAGAAGAATAAGATAGTCAAGGTAATTCAGTAGCTGTTTTGAAAGTAGTAGTCTATTTCAAAAGCAAAAACAATGATGTTCAGTTGCTGGATTTTAACCTTTTTTTTTTTTTTTTTTTTTTTGATATGAAGTTTCGCTGTTATTGCCCAGGCTGGGGTGCAATGGTATGGTTGCCACTCACTGCAACCTCTGCCTCCCAGGTTCAAGCAATTCTCCTGCGTCAGCCTCCCAGGTAGCTGGGATTATAGGCAGTGACACCATGCCCGGCTAATTTTGTATTTTTAATAGAGACAGGGTTTCTCCATGTTGGTCAGGCTGGTCTTGAACTCCTGACCTAATGTGATCTGCCTGCCTCAGACTTCGAAAGTGTTGGGATTACAGGCATGAGCCACCGCGCCCAGCCAACTTGAAACACTTCTAAAAGATAAGTGGAAATTCAAGCCATTAATTTTTCTGGCACAACTGACTGACACACACACACACACACACACACACACACACACACCCCCCACAATTTAGCTGTAATTGACACACACACACATACCACAATTTAGCCGTAATTGGAGTTAAAAATCAAGTTAAAAAATGTTAGTCATGTTTTCCAATTTGTGAGTTATACAATATTGGATTAGATGTTAATTTCTGAACTGTTGCTATGGGCTGCATACATTATGTCAAACTACCTTTGAGAGTGTCTATATAAACACACGAAACTTTCCAAATATATGAAGAGGTAGGTTCTACTGTATACATTTTATTGGAAAGCCATTGATTGTTGAAGAACATAAGCAGGTGGGGCATTTAATTTCTTCCAAATACCTTATTTTTTGGATCTGCTGAAGTGATTGGGGCGAGTGCACCATTATTCCTGAACCCCTGAAATGTGGTTCCCATTTTTTTGCACAAATTTTCTTCGTCGAGCCAACAATTTTTTTTCAGGATTCACTGCCTGGGATATCCCACTATATACATCTCACCTATGATGTAGTGGTGCTTGAAACTCCCATCTCATTAGCTAGATTTTATTCTAATCCAAGGTTTCTGATATTTTTCATACTATGATATTTTTAGGGACAATCAGTAATATTTGGGGCAGAGCACGGAGGGACCTCTTGAAATCTGCAACAGCATGCATTGTCTTTGTTTTTGTAGGGGGTGCTTCCCTTTTGCTGTCTGTGTTCTAGAACACTGCTCTCAATTCATTGCCATGGGATGTAGAGCTAGTAGCCTGTGTGAAAGTCTTCTGCAATCTCCTCAGGGTGTGAGTTATTGGGTTATTCTAACAGGAGTTTTCCAAAGGGATGGTCCATTTTTAATTTAACATTTGCTTTTTGAAAATCCAGAAGTAGACAGTTGGATATAATGGTGGTGGAAGAGCTTGGGCTGTAAGCAGAAGGAAATAAATATGACAAATGTCTCTTAAAGGGGATCTAGTTGATACCTCTGTTACCTGTTTTTAAATAGTGGGAGGACACAGTAGCTGGTACCTTACACTGTGCCTCAGGAAAATCCTATGACGATTTCATTTATAAATCCTCTTAGGATTTTCTGGCTTGAGGGACAACCCAACTATTAAGTAGAGGGAGATGGAGAAGTGACGCATTGGGTCTACATCAATGGACAGGCAGATAAACCCAGAGAGGGAGAAAACACTGAATAAAGGAAGAGAGTATAGCTGCAGAACAAGACATATAGGAGCTGAAGGCAAGACATGGCAGAAACCAGCGGGAGAAAGAAGCGCGGGACACCTAGGACAACTTAGTCAAGCACAATCTGTCAGTCCAGTATGGACTACCAAGTTCAATTCAGGATGCTTAAGACGCATGGGGCAATACGTTCAGCTGATGAGAATCCAAGGAGGCCCCATTTTCCCCATCATCCTGTCCTACGCTCGTGGCTTGGATTGTTAGCACACTAGGCAATTTCAGAGCCCGCTCGGGTGTTGGTGGCCACTTTGGTGCAGACAACCAACTCTAAGACTCTAGAATCCTCTTAACCATGGAGGGCAATGCCTATTCCTGTGGATCTTTCCTGACTGGAGTATGTCAGTACTGTTGGGAAAATGAGTTCAAGGATATTTCAGTTTATAGATCCTGGTTGCTGTCATATTTTTTTTTCATTCCACCACTTGTTTGTGTTTGCCTCACTCCATAGTCATAGGTGTGGAAGCTGGTTTCAGCTTGGGGCTGTAACAAACTCCCAATATAAGCCATGTAGCTGCGGCCCAGGGTTCCTTCCATCTACAGCTTCAGCGGTGGGTTCCGTGGCCCTCTTAATAACAAAAACTCCAGTCTAATGGCTAGATTAATGCTGCTCGGAGGCTATTAACTCAAATCCTTGACGTGTTTCATTTACAATTATGTGGATTATTTATTTTAGGAGCTTTTTTTTTTTAAGGGCCAAATAGCCCTACAGATAAATGAGCTGCTGGGCTGTGTAGAAAATATTGTTCAAATGTTGCCAAATATTGACTTTGTAAAGGGGATATCAAGCTGCTGTTTATAAATCTGAATGTCTTAAAAGCATTCTTGCTTGCTCTCTCTGTTATAGATGGTGTCTTAGCCAGTCCTGAGTTTTCCAATGAACCCAATTTTAATATATGGTATTTTTGTATGCCAAACTGGTGTCTTGTCCTTTGTATATGTGGTAATGTTGATTTTATGACTACTGTTAAAACACATTTGCTATGATTAAAATTCATAAAATGATTTCAAATAGACTCATGCATTGGTTTTTTTCCCCCTCCTAACCCCAAGAAAAGAAAAAATTGGTGGAGAGTTTCATCATCAGTTATTCTAAGGATTTTAGTAAACTTGGACAATAAAGCAGTAAGAAGATTCTGAGCCAAGGATTTTTTAAGGGGAGGTGACTTTCCAGTAGCTCCTCTGAGAGGCCAAGGGATATGGAGAGGGATATGGATGTGCAGAGAGAGAAGGTAACACATCTTTTGAGTAAGCCCAAGATTGTTTTGACAAGTTGGGTTTTCATGCTTCTGGTGGTTCTACCTTTATCCTTCACTGTTTAGAAATGATGCTGCCTGTCCCAGGCCCCAGGTGAATTCTCTTGTTGCACCATATGCAGAACGATTTCATGCAGCCCCTGTGTAGTCAGGCAGAGTCTCTTGGCCTCTTGGCCCTGAGTCTGGAGAGGTGTCCTTCAAGTCATGTTTTCATCAGTAGGGTATTTTGGAGAGGCTTTTATGATAAAAAGCATCCTGTCTTTTGATAACTGGATCATATGAATGAATTTCAATTTACTTTAACAGGTAGTCTAATCCTAATTAAGAGTTATCAATGACCTGATAGGCACGGGTGCTCGTGTAAGCATACTCTGGCTTTCTGAGAAATCATAAAGTAACCCCCATAGTTTTAAAAGTGAAATGTGAGGCCAGGCATGGTGGCTCATGCCTGTAATCCTAGCAATTTGGGAGGATGAGGTGGGTGGATCGCCTGAGGTTGGGAGTTCGAGACCAGCCTGGCCAGCATGGTGAAACCCTGTCTCTATTAAAAATACAAAAATTAGCTGGAAGTGGTAGCAGGCGCCTGTAATCCCAGCTACTCGGGAGACTGAGGCAGGGGAATTGTTTGAACCTAAGAGGCAGAGGTTGCGGTGAGCTGAGATGGCGCCATGACACTCCAGCCTGGGTAACAAGAGCGAAACTCTGCCTTAAAAAAGTGAGATGTAACCAGGCACAGTGGCTCATGCCTATAATCTCAGCTTTTTGGGAGGCTAAGGATGGAGGGTAACTTGAGACCAGGAGTTTGAGACCAGCCTGGGCAACATAGTGAGACCCCTGTCTCTGCAAAAATTAATGAAGATATTAACTAGTCCCAGTTTACTCATGACGCTGAGCCTAGAAGTCGCTTGAGCCTAGGAGTTTGAGGCTACAGTGAGCCTGATAGTGCCACTGCACTCCAGCCTCAGTGACAGAGTGAGACCTTGCCTCCTAAATAAATAAGAGACATTATTGTGATTCAATACCCACTTCTTATACAAAAAGGCAAGGAGTATTACATTAGTCTATATTTTTTAAAGTGCAAAATTTATTTGGTATATTTAAACTTTTCTGATCTGTGAATTTCCCTGGTTTTAAATAGCGTGGGGCAGAGGTGGGTGGGTGGGGAGGAATTTCTTTGTTAGAGTTGCTTCCTCATGTTTGAACCTGTCTATCAGCCACAGAAGGACTTGATTGGAAGAAGGCAGAAAGGCATTTAAGGAAGGCATTTAGATGCCCTAGCTTCTCCAGGTCTTAGCTTCTTCATGCCAGAAGCCAATGGTATCTATAGTCTTGCGTTCTCAAGACTCACCTGCAGATTTACGGGCACCGAGCAAAGGAGAGGGGGTCTTGGGAAAGCCCTGTA